CTACTGACATTTGTTACTTGGAAAATTTTATTTGGTTGGTGGGCTCCTATTCCTGATGTCTGGAATTGATCAAGAACAATACAAAGAAAACAAAAAGAATTACAGTCAGAACCAAAGTAAACAAATGTTGCCTATGATGCACATGACTAAAAAAAGGCACCAGCAGAATTTATTTGTGCCACTAATAAACACGTGGCATTCTTTACAGAGTAGATGTCCCTGACTGATCCCCAGATCCCTCATAGTTAAATCTCAAGCCTTTTTACTTCCATACCACAAAGGAGACCACGTGTTTCTTAAATTCACCCATGATTTCCAACACTTCAGTCATTTTCACATGAACAAAACACGTATGTTTAAACATTACTGTCTTTAGTTCCTTACATACTGCCCTTTTCCTGAGAAAATTCATTTTTGAATTCATTTTGTGAGACACTTCATACTAACAGCAGTACTGCACAGGTTTTATTAGCATGTTCCATAATTCTGAACGTTGAAACTGTTGATCTACTTAGGACAGTTTTGAGTCTAGAAAACAAAGATGCATATATCTCCTGTTAAAATATTCAAGCTCCTGTTTTCAAAAGTATATTCGACTGAGATCACCCCCTTCACAGCTACTCATTTCAGAGCTACTTCAAGACCACATACACTAAATGTAAGGCTCACAGGGAGAGCAGTTTGCATTAGGACAGCTGTAGTGATTTTCAGCCTTCATTGACATCTTTCTCTCTTCCTTACCATACTTCCACACTGCAGCAGCAACTGCTGAACTGCCCTGACCAACGGCCCCGCACGCGAAGGCAGATCTCCCCCAGCACGGTGGTACCTACACCTCCTTGTGCCGCTGTTCACCTGGTGTTCACCCAACGAGTGCCTTGTGCCCAGAACTTCCGTCAACCACGCGCTTTGAGATGGAGCACTGATTCCAGTAAAGCCGCACAGACCTTGCTATAAATTACCAATTTATTTTAGAGAAGAGTGCCTGTTTACAACAGAAAATCATTTACGATGCTTATTCTTTTGCTGTGTGCAGAATTAACAGTAGGAACAAAATAAAGACAAAATTTTCCTTTTGTCACACCGAGAGTGCGATTTCTAGAGGCATTTCTCTGAAGAGGCACCATTACAAAAGCACGCATGATTCAGCTACAAAAAGAAGTGGAGAAGCATACATACCATGCTGTGGAGATAATAAGCCACAGAAAGACGGTACAAAAAAGTTCCCAACAAGCTCACCACAACTATGGCTGGCAAGAACATAATTTCTCAGTGGAGTAAAATGCATCTGAGATATTTAACCCTAACATCATGCAGTCTGCTGCATCTCAGCTGGTGTTTAAACTGTAGCTGGTAGAGCTTAAACTGAGAAAAACAGCACTACCTCAGAAATGCAGGAAGGGGGAACACAGCCATTCCTTGTTTAGAAGAGAATGATTCCAAAATTTTGCAAAACAAACTTCATTTCTATGAACGCAAGGATATAAATGGCGCACTTGTAACAAAGTGGGATGTGTGAAAAATTCAAAGAAGTGACTCAGCTGTACTTCCACAACATGCTGCTCCAATGCCTGAGGACATTCTTGCTAGGAACACCGCAGCCATGTTTTAGCTTTCTGTATTTCATTGCTTTTGTTTCTTTAATCGATGGCAGCACAGCGCAGGTTTTTGAACAGGAACCCTGAGACACCTAAATAATTGTTATTTTTCATGCATTGTTCTGTACCAATGAGTGCACACAGTCCCGTTTAACAATGGATATAATGGCACAGAGCTGCATTTGGAAGACAGAAAGACATGTCAGATTTTCTTTGTACTTGCAAGATATCCTGTATTGCCCAAGACCACGGGCCAGTACAGATCCGCAATGTGTAGCATGCAAATGCTTAAATCCATAGCAGTCACTGCATGCTGCATTCCTTACAGGCCAAGAGAAATGTAAGAAAAAAGCAGGGTGGGGAGGCACTCACCACTTACTTCTCCAGACCAGCTAATATCTTTTCTGTAACTAATCCACTTTAACACTACACGTCTCTGCTTTGTAAAACACTCTGAAGCACTAACGTAGGTGGCCTTCTGAAAAATCAAGCTTTTCCTAACTGTTCTTTTCATTCACTTCATCTCTACTGAAATTCTGCAACAGGAATCAGCTGTTACTTGCAAAACATCACTGATTTTTTGCATTATGAAATACAATTTCGGAAGTACATACCAACCCTCTGTTCTCTGTATGCTTCTCAGACTCAGTTTTGAATACTTGCCAAGATTATCAGCTAGTGATGCTAGCTAGGAGTACCTCTGGTTTTAAAAAAACGCCAGTTATCAAAAGATGTGTGAAAAAAGAGTGGAAGAGTTACTCACATTCAGTTTTTTCCATTGGAAAAGATACCAGGTATTTTCCCCAAAAATTAAACGTGCTATACTTTTCTAAAATAGATTTCCTGTACTTTCTGTAAGACTGCTGAAACCCATTCAGCCAGGGCACACGTAAAATCTTTGGACAAAAGATTTGGTACCACAGTTTCACTCACGCAGAGTTCAAGCTTTATGGGAAAAAGGCTTTTCTTCCACAGATCTGCAAACTTCACAGGAGAAAGTTATTTCCTCAGTTCTGCTCCCTCAGGAGGAGTTATATTCTTATAATCTGTCAGACCTACAGTCATATTTGTAATTTATATTTAGTAAAAGGTCATTTCTTTTCAGACCACCCCTGGCTATTCCTAACACAGAATGAATTCGCATTACTCACTTTTCACCCACAGTGTTGACACTTCTCCCATTGCTCCCCGGCCCTGGAAGTCTGTGTGAAACAACCTGAATACCCAAACACATTCAAAGATCTAAAAAACCCAATGTTCTGCAGCACCTTGAAATATAATGGCAAAACAGCGAGAGTGGGATTTTTCTGGTACTTGAAATAGCACACATGTAATTAAAAGAGGAAAAAAAATTAACTGCTCAGAGAGTGCAGCTCTCAAGTACTTATACCAAGTCCGACCAAAAAGGCTACGGAAAGAAGCCGCACAAGTTGGATGCTGTCATTTCAGAACAAGATAAATTCACCTACAAAAATGGACAGCCCTGATTTTTAAATGGTAAAAAGTGCTTGAGGGGCAACTCTGCAACGGTGTCCTGCAAAACAGAGGAAAGAGGATAGACAGCTACAAAGACACAGAGCTGAGAGTACAGAAACTTCTGCAGTTGGCAGAGATCTTATTATGTTTCAGGCAACAGATAAACCTACATGAAAGCAGCTGCAGAAATTCTAACTCCACTTATGTCCTTAAATAATTCAGTCCTTCCTCCACACTTCTAGAAGTGAACAATTCCTTACCAACACAGAGCACTGCCATCAGAGGCAGAATTTACAGCGAGAGCCACAGTGTAAAATTTGTTAACAAGCAGCTGTGCTGCATCATTCATTCAAAGGTCCATGTAGTCAAACAATCCCACTTAAGTGATGACCAACTGAACGGTCTGACAAAGGAAAGGTTTGAAGAGTAATTACACCAACTTATTTCCAAGAGACTGAAGAATTGGTATCTATCTGTCTATATAAATCTCAATTGTTGGACTACTATCTATGAATGTCTTATCACTTTGGGAATATAATACCCTGTGAATGTAAGTGCCTGGGCATGTTAATACAGCTCATTAAGTAAGTACCTTCCTCTCTATTTTTTATATGGTGAGCTTGCTTGCTGGTAATTTCTTAAGAAGATTGTATTCTTGAAATACGTCAGGGAGTGAATAATCCTTCTCAATTCACCTGCTCCACATAGAGAATGACTTCACAAACCAAACCTTTACCTTTACCCTGTCTTGTTCTTCCTCAGGCTAAATCTCGTCTGTTCAGATTTCTGCAGGGGAACTTTTCTCATTTGTGCTCATCCTAGTTATCCCTCTCACAGCATTTTCCCACTGCACTACACTTTAGGAGGGAGAGCACAAGAGCAGTACAGTGTGAAGCTACACCATTCCCTGTCTATTTTTCTGTTTTGTTCACTAATACTATCATTCCAAGATGCCTGCAAGCACAAATATACAATCACACAATATTTTGAAAATTCACTTAGTAAGGACAAAAATACGTATTAAAAAGATTATACTGTCTTCCAGCATTAATCAAGCCAGCATCTGAATTAATAGCCTGGCCTTCTCCACTTCTTTCCTGGTATCCCAGTTATACAACATTATTTGAATAGGCAGACAAACCTTGCAAAACTTTCAGTTTTCATGCATTTCCCTGACTGGGTATCTGAGGTGGGCTTGACATGTTTGGAAAGTTTTAGGAAGCAAAAATAAGAAAATTGAAAGAACAAAATTAAAGAACAGTATCTGCTGTTCAGCTCTGTTAAGAATCTCAAATGCCTCCGTAAGTTACAGCAGAAATTTTAAATCGGCACAAATTGCCGTGGTTTCAGAGACATCTTTTCCCACTGCTACAAAAATCTTACCAATTTTGACTAAGTTACACTCTTGAATGTGTGTATTAACCGAGGTTAAAGATTCATGGAGTTTGACAGCTGAATTACCCAAAGAACACATCAGTACGTCCCGTGTCCTTTCCATGGCTGTTAACCAGACTGCATATTCACAATGTTCATCACACAGCTAAGGTACGTCCTGGACCTGCAGAAAATGAACTAGCCTTCTGCAACTGAAATTAACAGAGGATGCACCAAACAAAAATTTGGATTGGTTCAGCTGTTCCTACAGCTGATAGCTGTGTATTGTTGCCTGCCCTGTGTTATGCATACCAGTGTAACACTACAGCATTTCCGAAGGCGAAAAACAACACAACACACCCATAACGGCCACTGCTAAATTTCACTGAAACAATCTGTTTTTTAAAAATCCCCTTTACAAACACAAACCATGGGTAGTTCTTTTACATCACTTTCAATTAATAATCAGATCTTCTGTAAAGCCACATTAGACCTAGAAAGGGAATTTACAGCTCTTCCTCATCTGCTGAAAGCAATTTTAAAAATACTCACGTTTTTAAAGATGGAATAGTTGCACATCAAAACAACTGGCAAATTGTATTAAAAAGGCACCGTGGCTCTTCTCCACTTCAGGCACTTCCTCTTCTAGGAAGGAAATGTGGTGTACAACTGTTCTAATGCCTGTGGAGCTGTGGAGAGAAGAAAAACAGCTTATGAAAATTAAAAGCACGTGTGCTGAGTTTCAACATTATCCTAAATAGGCACCAGAAGTCAGAGAAGGTTTACCAAGATTTCAGAATGCACTACTGCTAACGTAAGTAACAAGGGACACATATTCAGAGGTAGAGTACAGACATTCACAGCCATCAAAAGAACCACCTGTCATGATCTAAAGCTGAATTTTCTCCTTTTCTAAGGGTCCAGTTTTGTATGCTGAAGAGCGTCCATAGTGTCTAAAGGTCCAGTAACAGCTCAGCAGTGAGGTGGAAGGGCCCTCAGAAGCCACACAGTTACGGCTGCTTCTGATGGGAGGGACCACAGTGGTAGGAGGGAAGTGACAGCAGTGAAAAAGGTGAAAGCAGATGGATTAAGCTCCAAAAAGAACACACAACAATCGAGTTCAGTTTCAGTTGAAATTTGAGCCATAAAGGAAAGCCTGCTAGCGAAAAACAGAGCATTTGTTTGCAAAAACACAAAAGAATTTTGATACTCTCTACTAGCAGCTAAGTTGTTGGGACTTACAGGGACTTTTTTTTTTTAATTTTTGTTTGTTTGTTCTGAGACAGAGAGGCTGAGCACTGCACATTCTAGAGGTAAGGTGAGGCTTAGCAGGTAAATTAGTTGCACAAATTGTATCAGTGGCAACTTCAAAACTAAAACCCAGCAGATTCTCATCCTTTTAACCTTTACACAGCAGTTTCTCCCTTTCCTACTCCTGAGAGTACAAATTAATTTCTCCTTTTAAAATCCCTATGGATGCTGGTTTTTAAATTCAAATTTCTAATTAAAATATTATCTACTGCTTAAATTACCTATTTAGTCTTGTGCTCTCAGATTACTGCCATTACAGATGATAACGCTTGGGAAAAAAAATGATTTCTAGTCAATCAACATATTAGTTTTGTCTGATGACACAGAAAGCCTCTCAACAAAATGCTGCTGCATCTTTCGAGGGTAACCCGTAGCCCAGCACAAAGACTTCTGCTTGCTTCATATTCCAAATTATGATGCCCCTACCACTGTATTAAGGGAATGGGGTGAGGGGTCAGGAAGGGTGTTCTTCCCTTCTCTGTATTAGAAGGAGGGGAAAAAATGAATAAGGAGCTCTGTTGCTTACTATACTTTGGTGATAATTAATTGCTTAGCTTTAATTTCCATTCCCTGTTCTGAGATCCAACATAAGTACACGCTGCAGTAGAGTTAAACTGTTAAGTGTGCTATTTCTTACACTGAGGTATTCACTTTTTGAAAATTAGGCAGGTTACAATTGATTCACTTTTGTTCCAAATTGCCTTACCTGTGTTTCCTGCCCTTCACTGTTCTCCCCATGCTGTACACCATAAAATATGAAGCATTTTAATAAATGCCAACTTTTCTTTGAAAGCAAAAATGCACTGCATTTAAAGAAAACTTCCTGAAAGCAAAGTCAGTGCACTGTCCCTCCCACAGTTATAAACATCACCAGAGGATATTAACTCATAGAAGAGCTTAAGGCTTAAGAGATATCTGTCTGGAATTAATGCCACAAACACTCAGTTTCTCTCACTTCTGAGTCAGTTAAAATTACACAATTTTCCTCATCGGGTTTTAATTATGTTCTTCCTTGAGGCAAACTTGCCCTCAGTTGACACAAATGTTAACATACTACTTTAAAACAAACATAAAATCTAAGACAATATAGAGCTCTAAATTTGTCAGTGCTCCACATAAATACTTTGACAGTTAACTTATAAAGCACGCAGAAAGGAGGATGTAAACTTTACAATTAACAAACCTCTGATTAATGAATTTTGGCATAGAGGCACAGACGGCTCATTTCCCTCACCTTGTCTTTAATGAGTGGAATGCTCTCATCCAGAATCTCTGATCTATCATCTTCTAACCTGCATTAAAAGAGAGAAGTATCTCGGATGAGGATGAATCTTGAAGATAAACTCTTTTCTTTTCCACACGACTATTTCAAAGCACCTCCATCACTTCTGTTCAAAAAGATGCCACCGGGGCCCTTTTGCGACTGTGCTGTAAAGTCGAGTCTTGGGAAATTACTTAATTTCCAAGTAATCAACGAGACAACAAAATAACCAACAGCAGGTAACTTCCACATAAAAACTGTAACCAGACCCTTCCCTCTCCTTCCCCAGATTTCCACACTCCTCCCAAGAGATCTTTCACCTTCTGTTGCAAAATACCGTAGAGAAAAGGAGTATTGAATTTAAAATGAAAACTACCTCTCATCCTCCATGCTTTGATTGTAGTGGAGAACAGCTAATTCACACTTAGCGATCAATCAGCTTTTGGAAAGGATTTGACAGAGCCTATGGCAAATGATCCTAATTCAGGAACAGTAAGAAGGTCAGTCGTCAATGGACAAGAGGTAAAAGACCACTTACACCTCAATAATACAACTCAACCTGCAACCCACCGGCGCTAACAGCAAAACAAAGGAAGGCTGCCCTGGGTCACGTTTTGATTGCACCACCTCTAGTATCTGCTGCTCAGGACAGCAGGACTTCTCTCACAAAACGCAGTAACCACATCAACTCACCTTTCTAGAAGGTGCCTTGATCCAAGAACAGTGATATTACCTCTTTGCTGCCTGACACAACCAAGCTTGCTTTTGATATCCATATGAGGAGGAAAAAAATGGATAGGACAAGAGCTGGGCAATACTTGATGAGTTCTGATAGGCATTAAGAAGTTCTAACGACTTTTACATGACTTTTTTCTTTCTTTGTCTCTCCTTTCTTCTTACAAAAACTTGTAGTTTCTAAAAGCTTAGGATGGACAATGCCACACTTATAAAATGACTCGTGGTAAGATTTCACGGCATTTTTATTACCAGTACCTGCAGATCACGTGTTTTAATAGAGCTATAAGCATTCTGTGATAGCAAATCAGACATTTCAAAGTAGTAATAGCTTTCTATTGTAAACAAACCAACAGTATTTCTGTCCTACTGGTCTCAGCACTACATACACCTAGCAGTGGCACAACTGCACACACACACAATGCTATCTGTACAATATCTACTTCATTTCCAATAGAAAACGGGCACTGACAATTGGGTAGAATGCTTGAATGGAGTCACAGAGAAAAACAGCCTCTAACCCCAAACCTACATCATACAGTATTGTGAAAAACAGATTGGTGACCTAAGGTGAAGTTCACACTCCAATGAACTACCTCAGATTAAAATTGGGGCCTTTACTTCCCGAAGGAAAGGAAGCAAGCCAACAACTCAAAAAGGATTAGGGAAAAGCCATTCTTACAGCTCAGTGCTCGGTAACTTCTGTAAACACAGCCGCAGTTTGGGACGCGTCAGAAAAAGGAGACGCACAGATTCAGTACAAAAGCCATCAACACAACCAGGTCACAGAAGACATGGAACAAATCTAAATCGCCTTTCTTTCAGAGTAAAAGCAAACAACCAGCACAAGACAAAGGAGAGTAGATTTTGTAGCAAGCAGCCTGTGATGAAAGGAAATGACATGCAAATATGATTCAGTAAGAGTCATTCTGCAGCAGTCTGCAGAACCACAGCGAAAGAGGAGTTCAACAGGAGTCGGCACATGACAAAGGGAAACGATCCTCTTGGTACAGCAGCCTCTGGTAAGGCAGGGAAAGCAGGAGTGGCCTGAAACCCCACTATAAATTAAGATCAGTTTCTCCCTGTGCAATTGTTTCACTTTATCTTCCTGAAGACCTCGCTGAGTGCTCAGCACAAGCACCAGAGCGGAGCAGACCATGGGGAAAACAAACAAAAACATAAAAAACACCATCAACCAAATTCATTCCTCTTAGTAGTTTTTACTATGCCAATTTGAGGAGGGGTGAGGAGCAAAGGTCTGACTGAACCTGTCTTCTAACAATTCAAGTCAGCAAGACAAAGCCCAAGGAGGCAGCAGCACAAAGAGGGCAGTTAGGAGACAGCACAGCCAGTGTGAGTGATGAATTAGGACACAAACCAGGAGCAGCCCGTCGCATGTAGGGCAGCGAGACCTGGTTGCTGCATACACTGCAGTTCAAGCTGCACTATTAAGCACGCGTTCTTGATCTTTTGTATAATTTTTTTTTAATAGCTAGCTATTTTAAAGATACTGTGCAAATTCTAGTTGTGACTAGACAACCAAAGACCAGACTATTGCTATTCACAACAGTTGGAATCAATTCAAACACCGTGTTGTATTAATCAGATTCTGCTGCTGTATTAATCAGATTCCCAAATACTACTTGGTATGCTGCTGAAAGGAATCTGACATTGCGGATACTGGATAGAAAGGCAAAAAAATCAGCACACCTACGGCAGTACTTTGATGTTCCAGATAAGGCTAATGATCTGCATACCAGATAATTATTCTCAGCTTGCAGGTTGTAGCAAGATGTTGTAATGGGCAAAGCAAAGAGTGCATTGAAACTCGGCTAATATTTTCTGTAGAGGCAATTGGCAACAGAAGTCATCTCACAGCAGGTAAAAAGGTCTCTGGGTCCCTGTGAACAAGCTAACCATCTTCCATACAGAGGGCCAACAATGCCTGATTGATTGAAAAAAAAAAACCATAAAGGGACACATAAAGACCTCGGCTAGGCTACAAAACAGAAAAATTGAGTTAATGAACTTAACAGTAAATCAGACAGTATGTAATCAATAGCGAAGGACTGTGTGTTCAAACCACTGACTTTGAGCAGCTGACGTCATTCCACTGTAGCAACCACTATCCTGCAGGAATGAAGTTAAAAGATTCTGGACATGAAACTTGTCTCCTGCATTCTGTACTTCTCAGAGGCAGAACCGTGCCTGCTCTGTGAAGAGCAGACAAGGGGCAGACATGGCAGCAGCCAACACCTGAGGAACTTCAACCAAAACAGCTCCTGGACAAAAAGACCCTGAGGAAACGTTTCACTTCTTGCTCTTTGAAATGAATTTGACGCTTCATGGCAATTAGCAATCACCGTAGTTGACAGTGACACATACTCGAAGGCAGAGAAGAAAGACATGGTAAGCAGTAACACAGGGAAATGCCAAAGTTGCATTCATTCTTTGATGCAAGCACCAAAGCCAAGCAACCTTCAGACAGAACCACTTTCCGCCAGGGTCAGCAAGCAGCAATGCGCTCCTCCTGCCCACGAGCTCTGCCGCGAGCAGGAAGGCACGGACAAGGAAGCGGAGCGCAGCAAACATTACCCAGCACAGCAGACGCAATCCCACCATTAATCAGCGCTCCCCCATAAGTTATCCCACCTGCACCAGGCCCTCGGGCCCAAAGGCACTCAGCAGCTCGCACACGCAAACCCCGCCCTCGCGCCACTCCGGCCCGGGCCGCCCAGCAGCGCACGAGGGGCAGGGCGGAGCCAAAGGGGCCGGGACAAACGGAGGGGCGGGGCCTCGCGGCCGCGCACTCAGCAGCGCCGCCTGGTGGTCACCGCGCCCCTCCGCAGCTCTGCCCGAGGCGGCCGCGCCGCCAAGATGGCCGCCCTGCGCGGCGTCACGGGCCTGGAGGCGACATGGCCTCCGGCGCGCGCCGCGGCGTCCGCCGCCTCCGGAGGCCGGCACAGCGCTCCGCACGGCCCAGCGGCTTTCTGTACCGCCGTGATCCCCCGGGAGGAGAGCAGAGAGCCCCGGGGGCATCAGGCCACGAGAACGTGCCTGAGGTATCCCTAGCGGTGGGCGGTGCGCCTGGCCGTGCCGACGAGGCAGAAATTAGAACAAAAACAAATAACAGTTACTTACAGAAGTCATTCTAATGTTACAGCTCACAATGTTCACTCTTATGGCCAACCCTCCCCATCAGAAGATAAACAGGAGACATGCGCAGGGATGGCGCAACTGCAGCAGAGCCGAAGCGTGCTGAAGAGTTGGACGGCTGCCCCCCAAAGCGCCTTTCAACTCGATCAGTTCCATCCTTGTGATTTTGAAGTAATTCACGCTAATGATGTGAGAGGACGTGGAGTCACCACCCTCAGCACATACCGACACTTGGCCATCACACTCAGATTTCTCTACAAAAAGATCTTCCCCCAGCTGAAGGTTCCTCACTACCACCTGCTAACGCTGGTGCCCCAGGCAATGGGGTGCTGCAGGGATGCACGACTCCAGCATGGATTTCTGGGTTACAGTGCATGGTGGTCACAGCTGTGAACGCTGCCAGCACACTGGGGACAGCGATTCCAGAACCAGAAAGGACGAACTGTCATATCACAAAGAAAGGTAACAAAAGATCCTTCAGCACGTGGAAGAGGTTCTGCCTGTTTTCAGAAGGATGAACACATGCTCCTGTGTAAGACACAGCATGGCTGAGGACATAAACCTATTTGCTGGAATGCAGATATGAGCACTGTCTGTGTGCTGAGCAGCAGGAACGTGATCCAACATGGCCCAAAAGCTGTGCAACCATCTGGAGCAGCACTGAGCTAAGATTTGTGTGTCGGTATCAGAGGAATGGTGAGCAGCTGGAGGTTCTGCATCTGCTCAGTGGCCACACCTGACAGCCCACTGATGGTCCTTATGTCTAACCAAGCTCTGTGAGAAGTCTTCAGCAGCATGAGCCTTTACATTCACAGTGTAATTTCACTTAGACAAGACATAAAACATATCCACAAAGGGTTCCCAGCCCCTTCTGGGTGTGCACATCTAGACAGGAGAAACCTCAGGACACGTTACACTCCACAGGTTTATCAAAGAGATCCATGGCTGCTATAAATCAATGCATGGATTTCAGTAGTGCTAACACGAGTTTACATCCCCAAACAATCTGTTCCATGTCTGCCTCAGCTAAAGACTTCTCTGTGGAAAATCTGTTGTCCTTCTGCTACTCCTTTGCATGCTTAAATAAAGGACCAGAATTTCCACATCTACTTCCTCCTCAGAATGAAAGAGCGCTCCTTTATGCCACTGCACACAGGCTAGCTCTGGAAAGATCACTGCTAAGCAACAGAAAAATACATTCTTTTCATGTAAGAAAGATCCCAGTCACTTCATGTTGCTAAAAGCCACATTTAATTTGTGAAAGAAACATGGAAGCACTGAGCCTGATTTCTTGCAGTCTTCGTAAGGCAGAAAAACATAACTGCTAGCTTTTCTGCTAAATGTAATTTAGAGCAGTGCAACCTTAGTGGTGGTGCATATATCAGATAGGCTGCAGAACAATCCTATCAAACAGACGTTTCTTGGCAGGTCTGTGCACTGTCAGCTTCACAGGCCCAAAGCCACTGATCCAGACACGTGCTACTAGCAGAGTTGGCTTAAAGAGGCAGTTCAAAACTGATATAAAGCTTACAGCTTTGAAATGACTGTTTAACAGTAGCTATCACAAACTGCAGAACTGTAAAATGAAGATAAATTCCAATAATTTACTTGAGAATGCATGAAAGAAACATCCACAGAAAGAACTTGCATTAGCTGTACAGGTTACTGTCCTGTTCTCAGCAGAATGAATCAGAGAAGTATCTTGAGTTGAAAATGAAACTAACCATTAATTTCTTTGTCAAATCGCATTAGCTCAGATTAGTTGTTTCAGTCAGATCATTACATTGCCACGCTAGGACCAGTACTGACAAAGCCAACAAGTAGTGAGGGGAAGAGCAAAGCTGCTGGGCCTTTCCATAGCAGCTTATCCTAAAGCCTCAGCCAAAGGCTCAACAGCACAACTTCCAGAGGGCATTTCAGCGTTCCCCTTTATTCATTGTTGATTCCCCCACTTAAAACCATAACTTCTTTCTGTAATTAGGGGGAAAATTGAAGATAGCTTTATTTTATGTAGTATATACTGTAACCGTAGTAAAATCCCTTTCTCACCACTTCCCTCAACACCTTTGTTCCTCAACTGCAAATTTCTCCTTCTATCTTCCAAGCCCTGGATAAGAGAAGCTTGTTTAACTCTTTAACACTACTTCCCTTTCGTCTCAACCTCATTACAACCCCCTGTGCAACCTTGGAACAATTTGTTTGCTTTGCCCCAGGACATACATATTTATTTCAAGATCGCTCCCTTGTACAGACATTTTGGTCTGGTGGTGTACACCATGTCCACAATAAACAGTGTTGTAACTTATTCATTACAGAAGGGGGGATGAGAAAGAAAATTCAGCATCAAATTTTCTCTACAAAGTTTTCCAAAAAGCGTTCCACTTCCACTCAGAATGCTGAGCTGCTTTTGTTAGATCTCGAAGAGTTCTCCTACCATGTCATTAAGATGAAAAAGTAGGCATAGAAAACATTTAAAATATCCAAACCAGAGAACCACACTCCTCCTTATAACATTACAAACTCCATCAGGAAGGCACATTTCAGTATCGCTGGAAATTAACAGGCTCTTTGGTACAACATCCTCTTATACCAGCTTCAGAATACTGAAGAAACCCTACAAGGAAAAAACAGTCAGTGGGTAAAGGGAAAGAAAAACAGTGTCAGATGTATTTCAAGAGTAAACAGTCTTCTGTGCCAATTTACAGGATAGATTCAAGGCAGGATAACACACCACAGTCTTGAAAACCTTCAAGTAGCAAAATCTTCTAGACTATGCAAATACTTTGTTTTTTATTCATTATTACCTAGTTTCATTTGTGACAACTGTTCAGCAAAATTTAACTAAAGTAAGAATTACATGCTAGAGACAAATATTATTGCTAATTGCATGATAATAAAAGCAAAACTAAGGCAGTGCTCTCTGTGGAAAAGAACTGAAAGTCCTCGCTGTGGTTTCAGCAACACTGTGCTACATCACAAAGCTGAGCTGGCAGTACAAGGCCCAAGGGAACATTCCACAAAATCTGTAATTAATTCTTGAGCAGGAAAAATCCCTCAATTATATCACTGCTTTGAACAAGCTACCAAGATATGCAGTAATCCAGAAAGTCTGGTATTAAAACAAGTGTATAATTTCAGCTGAAGATGAATAAAAGCAACACAATGACTTGCAAGTAGCAAAGAGTACAAGTTGTTCCTGTATTCCTTGTAAGAACCAACAGCCTTAACATGTCAGTTACAAAAATACACAATCTGCCATGCAACACTACATGGGAAACCTGGTTTTGTTAACTGGAGCCTTCTTTGTTTCTTATTTAACATCACTTTGAGTGGCACTCGGCGATACCAGTAGAACCCAAACAGCTGACACGACGCTGCAATGAAACTTCTTCCCTAAGTAGTCCACTTTGCAATGTCATCTTAACCAAGCTTGAAAATTCATTTTTCTGTCAACAGCTTTAGCAGTGCTTGTTTCTGCACACCAGAGATGCAGAGATGACTGACTGAGAGGCTCTGAATCCAGACGCAAGACAAAGGCTGTCGCTGGTTTAACCAGACAGAAAGGAGGCAGGTATCGAGGACTGCGTCACAGCACCTCCCCGAGCACACCGCGCACAGCAACACAGCGCGCTTCCGAGCTTCAGATGTGTGAAAGAAGTCCGATTTATTGCCGGCCCGCGTCGCCCGCAGGCCGAAGGGAGAGGAGAGGAGCCGCCGCGCCGCGCCCCGCACCGTGGCCATCCCGAGCGGCGGGAATCGCAGCCCGCGGGCCGCAAACCGCCCCGGGCATCGCCTCACCGCACCGCGCCGCCACCGGAGCGGCAGCCGCGTTCACGAACCGGCAAATAAACAGACAAGCCCGAGGGCACGCGAACGCTCCGCCGCCCTCAGATCCGAACCAGAAAAGCGCGGCGACCGAGCGGGGCAGAGCCGGGAGGGCAGAGCCTCCGCTCCGCGTCTGGCGGCCCGCCGTCACGCCGGGTCCCCCGGGGCGCTCAGGACTTACCTCCCACCTCCCCGCGCTGCGGGCCGACCGCCCGGCCTAAATCTCCACGGCCGCCGCCGTCGCTCCCGCGCGGCGCCCCGGCCGTTCCTCCGGCAGCAGCATCGCTCCGCCGGCAGCCGCTCGCCGGCCGACTTGAAGGCAGCCCCCGCTCCGCCTCCACCCGCCGCTCCGCTCCGCCCCGCCCACCGCAGCCCCCACGGCCGCCCTGAGCAGGACGCGCGCGCCACGCGGCGGCCGGGAACGGCACGTGCTGCGGGACGGGGCCGCGCTCCAGGCCGCTCCGTACGGCGGGGCTCGTCCTCGCAGCCCGACGCCGAACAGCCCGCATTTGGGACGCACCCCGTCGCAGAACAGCGCTCTGGAGGATGGAGGATCTCGGTAGCGCTCCCAACGGAAACGACAAGAACCAACTGTTCTCAGCACGTTGGCTGTTCCACTCCGCGCAGTCATTGGGAGCTGCCGAATCGCTCATAGCGACCTTGGAGCGGGTCGCGCAGCTGAGAGCGGCACCGAGAAACGCTCGTGGCCGCACGAGGTCGGAGTCGGACCGCGGGCGCCGCACGGCCCCGTCAGCCCGAGGCGTCGCGGCGGAACAGTCCCGCCTGCAGGCAGGGGACCGGCAGCGTGGGAATAAAGAAGGATAAGACGTCATCCACCGCCTACCCTGGAGCGTTATTCACAGTGCAGTTATTAGAAACACCATAGAAACTAATTTTGAGTGCTTGCAGAGGAGAAGACTACAATAGGACCAGGCTGTCCTGCAAAGCTTCCCTGGGCTCGGAATAAGATGAAGTTACCACCGAATAACAGCAAGCTCCAAACCCGGTCTAGCATTCCCAAGGAAACGCTCAATTTATAGCGCGTGGTTTGCCCCAAGCCAGGCCTGAGGCAGCACCTGGAGCAACGACAGCAGGAGCAAAAAGCCTGCAGCTTCTCTCCCCAGCAATCTGAACAATCTGAGATCCAAGCACCGCCTGCACCATGCTGGTAACTGCACCAGGCAGAACCTCATGATACAGCAGTGACAAGAAAGCTCTTACCTGAAAAATCATACTGTATTTGCAGAAATGATCTGCTGTAGAGAAAACACACTGCACCTCTGGGCCTGAGACTCCAGGCACGTGCTTTGTTTCAGTTGCAAACCCTCCAGCTCAGGGCAGAGCTCTTGCTAGGTATTTGCACTGCAAAGATTTGCTTTAAAAAGAGCAAAGGGAACAAACATCTATGACTACCGTGCATAGTTCTGTTCTCTGCTCAACCATTGCTGCTGTACACCCCAATGGTTTCTACCTTGTGTGCCTGAAAGGTGCATGAGTTACACATCAGTGAGATTTGGAAAGCATGAAGTCCAGATCCCCAGGAAACATTTCTGACCTCTGTTGTGTATCACGGATGAACTGTTTTGAAACTAAGTTACATGAGATAGGAGGAAGTGTGGAGGGGTACATTCAGAACGAACAGCACCTGAAATATTTCTGAAAGACAATGGAATTTCAACATCTAATTGTGTGCCCAGATCATGTTTTGCAAGTCAGTTTTAGACCGGTTGTTTTTAAGTTTGCAAAAATACATCTTTTTCTCATTTCACAGCACGGGATAAAAAAGGGCAGGCTTAATAACAAGGCTTTTACAGGACTTAAACTCCTAAGATTTATAGTTTTTAACCTCTAAATTCCATTTATGTAACCTCACATAGCACTCAAAGTCACAGAAATCTCTTTATGTATTCAGCATGAGACTTCAAAATTTTCTGCTTCCTCCAGAAGATGAACCCTACTTTTTAAAAACAAACAAACTGGGTCTGCAGTATTTAGAATAATAGCAAATAACTTGAAAAAAAGTTAAACAAAACTTGAAACCCTTGGAAGAAAATGCGGTGCCTCGCAACAGGAGGTAGCACAGTTACAGTCATGATTCTAAAGAGACAAGCAAGGCTTGCAAACAGAGACAGTATCTCATTAGACTAATTGGTACAACTTAATACAATAAACAAATCTTGGCTTTTGCAAAGTTCAGTATTCCTCTGTATGGGACACTTGCATCCTTTGTTAGTGCATCTCCTGTTGTTTAATCTTCTCTCCATTTTGTCTCGTACAGCTGTGAAAAACAAGGCACTTGTTTGAAGAATTTGTTCAGGCACGCCAGATACACATCAGATTTGTACAAAAACCACCTTATTGGTGTGGTTCAGACAAGCATGAACCTCTGAATGGGATGATTTTCTTACCCTCTGTAGCACCTTTCACACCATCTGTCCCCCAAACTCTGTTCTTCGTTTCTGAGCATTGCCAACATGTGCAAAAAAAAACAAAAAAAACCACCACCAAAAACGTTATGAATGACAAGGTGCTTGAAGAAGGCATTCAGAAGCATCGTTGAACCAGAGAAAAACCATATTCTCCTCTGGAGAGCAAACAGAGGCGCAACATCACAGAGCCCAATACAAACCTTCCCCTCTGATGAAATGCAAGGTATCTCCTTAGGCAATAAAGTACTAGTTCAAGTAGAAAGGAATGTTAATTCGGAGGATAGGAAATTGTATCTTACTAGCAACACCTCCAAATAGCTTCAACATGAAGTGCTGGTAAAATAGCACAGCACTTCCTCAAACTGATTTGTGACTCATGTTTCTAAACCACTTAAAAAAATAAACACATTACATACAGTCATCAGAGAGGAATCTGTCTCCTGTTTGAGAGGGAAAGTACACAGCTGATCTATCATCGCTGCATAAGCAGTCTGAATTCTTCAATCTTGGCTACAATCTCACTTCTCCAAGAACCAGCCGTACCACTCCTTGCTTCCACCGCATCCAAGAGCAACACTGCTAACATGCAGTGCATATTTTCCTTCAAGTGAGTACTGGAAGCGTCTATGAAGCGACTTTGAGGCTGCTGATCTCCCTTCTTCAGGACCGCACACAGCTCTCAGGATCAGCAGAACTAACCCAGGCAAACCTAGATTAGCGGAGTGCCACAGCTAATTTCTAGGTAAAAAGAAAACTGCAAATGGGGTCTTTAGCACTGATTTCAGTCTTTTTCCTTGTGTTACACCATGTGTCTCAATGTGCTCCTTTTGAAAATTCAGACAAGTCTCTATCTGCAAACAATCAATTCTGAGCTGCGTTGGAAATGATCCTGAGAATTCAGTACAATGAGTCGAGATAAAAACCTCATCTTCTGTGTAAGGGAAGAAACTTAATGCCATTCACAGGTAAAGTATTTGCACCCATAAGGTCACAAAATATTGCAAATATTTAACTGACAGTGTCTGACTCCTTTCACTTTTTGCGTCTATACAAGCTGCTCTCTGCAGCAGTGTTGTACTTACTGCCACTTTAAGGCTCTTTTGTGAGAGATGCTGACATTTTTTCCTCGGTTGAATTGCACAGGCAAGCGTGGGGAGATCCTTCTCCATTTTTATTCTCTTCTCATACAGAAAGCAAAGTGTATCTAAATGCCTGATCACACACAGAGCAAGGACAGTTGTGAGCAGCTAACAGCTGTCACAAAAAGCAATCTTTGGGTCTTCCTGCAGGCCTTAAATTCTTTCCAGTAGTATTTTTCCTCAAATATTTTTCTCCACACGTTATTATGTGGTATTTAACAGTTGCATTTCTTCCTCAAGGAGGCAGCAGCAGCAGGGAAAGTTAGTCTTTCTTTCACAATTAGTCTCTTAATTTAGGAAAGCAACATGGGGAGACTAGTAATCTGTAGAAACGGTGTTGCATTTCAGTGTTGTTCTTTATTCGTCTCTGATTAATTTCTGAACTGTGCCCTCACTTCAGATTCACCCTGGGTCTGTATTAGCATTATTCCAGCTTAAAAAGCCTTATTAACCTTTCAGATTTTGCTCTTTTTTATTGTTTTTAAAGCATTCAATTCATTCAGAATATCTGATCCTTAAATTTCAACAGCAATACTAGGAATTAACATGTCCCCACAACAATTCACATTTTACAGAAAAGCCAGTAACTCAGAAATGCTTCAGAGCTTTATACATTTGGATAGAAGATTTTTAGGTTACAAAAACACTACGTCTAAATTTCCATACAGTATGAAGGAAGGTGCAGCACAGAAGTTCTATGGCTTGCCCTGAGAACAGCAGCTGCAAAAGAACCTAAAGAAACTCAAATCTTCTGCCACCAGGTAAATTTTTTCAAGGGCTGCCAATGCATTTGATAAGAAAGAAAACATTTGTAAGGGGACCAGGTACAAGTTAAAAACATTAATGCAGTTGTAAGAAATACTTACATTAAAGGAAAACCACCAAATCGCCAGCAGCATTTGGCAGTGATGACAGATGAGAGACAACCATCTCCCCGACTCACGTCCTGCACTTTACCATAAGTAGTCTTCAGGCAAGTGATACAAATGCAAAACTCATTATTAGCAGCTACCATAGGAATCATAGCATGAGCACATCACAGGTCAGTCAGCAGCACCGAAGGACAAGTAAAGATTTGCTTCAGAGAAAGGAGAAGAAGCAAACATTAAGCTAACGTGAAAATAGCCCACAGGTGCCCAAGAGGAAACAGAAACCCATCTACAGTCACACTTCAGAATCAGCAAACATTGCATTCTTCCTCATTTTTACATGTCTAAAAGTAATTAAGAAAAAAAACCATTTTATTTCTATATCCATTTATTCCAGTCTGTAAAAATATAAGACTAATATACAGCTACAGCTAGCTAGATTCATAAAATCAATCTTCATTCAGTGAGCTAACAATGTACATTATACATTGAAGTTGTAAGAAAAATACTGATATTTGACATTTTAAACAAGTTCATTGATGTAAAAATCACATTTCAAGTAGAATTTAATTAGAAAATACATAATATTCACAAAAATACACATGTTAAAGACAGGTTGTGAGAACATTGCCCTAAATTTAATTCAGCTGTGGAAAAACATATGATTCACAGTTAGGCTTGACTTACCCAGTACCAGAGCAGAACTTCAAAGTAAATGCATCTTAATTCTACGAAGAATTTGCTTGTTTCCCAGTAAGGTGCACTTATCTCCCATCTGCAGTGAAGGACTCCCCCATGCAGGTATACAATACATAACACTACTCAAGAGAACTTCAGAACTTCAGATTTCTGCTCCATTTTTAAGTAATTTGGATATTTATAAATTAGTTTATAAAA